ATTATAGTCGTTTAATGCCTTTTCTTTCTCACCGATATTGTAATATAAATGTCCTTATATATTGAGTGTAATAGTATTCACCTCTATTATTAAAGATTATTGCAAAATTTGGATCTAGTTGGATTGCTTTGTTATAGTCATTTAATGCCTTTTCTTTGTCACCGATAATGGAATATAAAAAGCCTTATATATTGAATATAACAGTAATCACCTCTATTACGATAGGTTATCACATTATTTGGATCCAGTTGGATTGCTTTAGTATAGTCATTTAATGCCTTGTCTTGCTCACCAATTTTATAATAGAAATAGCCTTCTCTATAATATGTTTAATCACCTCTATTATAAAAGGCTAAACTATATTGTGGATTGATTTAAATTGCTTGATTGAAATCTCTTAATGCCAAGTCAGCTTTTTGTCCATCCATATAAAAGCACCCTTAAAAATAATTTTATTTTACCTCGACATATAAATGCATTATAACAATTACTATCTTTCTATATAGCCTAATTGTAATATTCGAGTTCCTTATCTATTTCTTTCAAATCCCACATAATCGTGCCTAAATATTTATTGTTATTTTGTTACCTAATCTACAATACCCCATAGCAAAGTTTTTATTAATCTAAACACACTTCCAACAATCGTTTAAAGCTAGATTCAATTATTTTTATCTCCAATAAATAGTTGCTTAAATTATAAGATTTAATTTATACCTCTTTAATAATAACTTTCTGCATTATTGTTGTTTATAGACAAGCTAAAATTAACATCTTACAAAGCCTTATCATACAATTCCATTTTGTAATATAATTCACCTAAATTGATAATTAAAACAATGAACTTCTTAAAGTGTAGGCTTCTGCATATTTAGGATTAAGATTCAAAGCCTTGTTTATTTCTAAAATTGCTTCTTCAGTTCTGTAAGCAATTTTAAGCTCCTAAAAATGATTCTATTAAATAGTTTACATTGCTTCTTGTATAATGCTTAGTAGCACTAGCACTGTGATTATCTTTTTCCTTTTAAATATTGTTGCCCATATATATTTTGAGCTGTATCAAAATTTTTGCTAATAAATAATTAATAAACTTTAAGGAATTCATTACCTGATAAATTGTCAAAGTTCTATTTAACAAAATTTGATATTTCACTTTGATAACCTTTAAAAAGTTTTTTTTTGAACTAGAAATATTTTTGAAATTGTTTTAAATATTCAAGCTCTTAATGATTGTTTCTAAATTTATTGATAAGTTGTAATATAAAATTAAAAAACTACATTTTAAAATTAATGCAGGATGGCTCAAAAAATATCAATTACTTATCAAATTATTTTACATATTTTTAATGAATAGGAAATAAGATTAAATCTTATTTATATTCAGTTAATTTTATGATTAACAACATTATTTATTACAAAAAGTTTGTTGTCAAAAAGTTATTATTTTCGAGAGATTCTGATTAATACTTTATATAAATACAAATAGGCAATATTAGTTGCTGAGACTTGATGTCTATTTTGATAAAATATAAAACTTCTTTTACAATAATTCACTAAGTTTACTATAACAGTCATCAATAATGTTTACTTCTAAATAAAATGTAACTTGTAATTAATAGAATAAAATTATTCTTTTTAATTAGCAATTAATCAGCTAATCGAAGAAGACTTGAGAAAAATATGGTTTTTACAATGAAATTCATTATTATTCATTGTTAATTTACATAATTACGAGCCTTTACACTTGAGTTCTATTGGTTTGCTTATTAACCTGAGCCATTCTCTATAATTAAGTTAAACTACTTTTTAATCTTCTTTTGATAGGATGATCTATAAATTATATTTAAGTATCTAATAAAGTTCTAAATCAATGCTGTCTAAAATAGTACTAGACATTATGCTATCAACAAAAAATATCCTTACTATTATATATTGAATTGTAATTAATAAGAAAGTTTGAGAGAGGATCCTTTAAAAAATTATAAATTACCTTTATGAATATTAAATTGCATCTCTATAACATTAGGTATTAGAGAAAACTCAAGTTTTAAGCTTTTTTTTAACATTTTTACACAGCTGTTACCATTTCAATCCCTCAATCCTTTTTTGAGTAGCGCATGGAATTCATGGATTTCTAAACTTACTTTCTCAAACTAACACTAAAAGATTATCAAAACTATCTTTTAATTTTGACTTAATTTTCTTAAAATATACAAAAAAATTATCAATAATTTAATTGTTTTTAGATTATTTTTAATTTACTTATCTTTTAGTTAAATAAAATTTTATATAATATTTTAGTAAAATAAAATTTTTATAAAATATCTCAATTAAATCAAGGAAACAGATCAAAAAAAAGATCTTTTAGAAACATATCGCATCTAATAAAAAGGGCAAAAAAACATCATCATGTAATAGGTTAACAAAAGTAAGAATCCAAATTTAATTCAGTCAAAAAACTAAATTTTATTGTAAGTAACCTTTAAGGGCTCTTATAAAAATTAGACAAAAAAGATTAGAGGAACAATTAAATATTTAAAAATTCTTAATTTTTCACAACCCAATTCATCCCACCAAGGTGCAATAAGAGTATAAAACTGAATATCTTTTATCTTTAAAAATATAAACAAAATCAACATTTTTGAGACCTGAATAACAGCCAGCTATAGCATCTTTACTAGTTATAAATTTATAGAACAAAAGATTAATAATTATCATCTTCACCTAATTATTTAATAAGATAAAATTTAATTAACTTAATTCAAGAAATTTTTTTTGAATCCTGCTTCAGAGTAGTCTCTAATAGAGTTCAGTTATCATTCATTTTTTTAGATGGATAAAGAAAAAAATTAAAATTGGGCTGTCAATGATTATTGCAGGAATCTTAATGTAGACATAATTGCACAATAC